TTACGGGTCGATATTGACGAGCAAACTGAAGTCACTAGTTGTAATTACAGTATTACGTCCGAATTGACCTAATTTACTTCAATTTCGAGCCAGGCTGCTTTAACTTTACCTCTCGTGGCCAACTCATGCTGATTGGGATACAGCATCACCACAACAGACAAACGAAGATCATACATGATTTGGAAAATGATTCCCCTTCTTGGGAACTGAGTCGGCGTCTTTTGAGTGAAACGTGGAGACGAGCCAAATCGTTACACTACAGACGCCGGTGGCGAGTAAATTGAGCCAATCAGAAACAAACCCACGATAGCACTAGAAACCAGTTCCGGTAATTTCACGCTCATCACAAAAGCTTCCTGTAAAGAGAACACGAGACCAGCCCCCCCACCCCCACCCCCTGTCCCAGGTTACACACAACCACTGCAGTTACTTTTACCATACTTTTCTCTCTCTCTCATTTAGGCCCTTTACACGCACTAGGTGGGCCGATAGTGTCTGTGCAATTCTCTAAACGAGCAAGTTTTGAAGTTTTGAAATTTCGTTTTTTGGTAAATGTACTGTTCTCAGCAAACGGGGATTGTTCCCAATCAGTCCACGAACAGGTGAATGTCTGACCAATAGAAACGTAGTATATGTGATGCAGCGTGGTGGAATCAGGCTCTCGTCAATTTTTGGGCATGTAGAGTTATTGGTATTATTTTAAAGCTTGTTCACTTGTCTTTATTTGGATGAAAAAAATATCAATTTATCTTAAATACAAGTCGAGATGTTTGCTAATGAAGGAGGTGGGGGACACCTGTTTTCAGAGGAAAAGTTAGTGAGAAAATGGCCGCAAAAGATTAGTTATTTCCATAGCTTAAAAGTCCGTGGTAACTGAAAATTTCCATTTTTTCTGCCTCTAATTATCGTTTTTCAGGAAAATCCACACAAAGATGAGTTCTTTAATATATAATAGGCATGAAAGGTGTTGAGCCAAAAAACAAAACTTTAATACAAATTCACAAACCTGCGGAAAAAGCAGGTTTCTTCACTTTGATTATTTTGACGAGAGCCTGATTCCACCACGCTGCCTCACACACACGCATATATATA